AGGCTGAAGTAGGAGGATTTCAAGTTCAAGGCCAGCCTCAGCAATGTAGCAAGGGCCTGTGGAAGTTAGTAAGACCCTGTCTCTAAATAAACAATTAAAAAAGGAGCTGGGGATGTGGCTCAGTGGTTGAGCACCCCTGAATTGAATTCAATCCCCAGTACAAAAAAAAAAAAAAAAAAGAATTGAGGTGTTCCTAGCCATGGCCTATATTGCTTATTCCACATTTACATTTTCATTTCATTCTCATTACTTTGTGAACTATTTTATATTTATAATTTTCCTTTATTTTTTCATGCTATTATTTTAGTTTAATTTTATTATACAAGCCACTTTTGCCTTAGTTCATCTGAATTATTAGCACATTGCTAAATAAATTCAATTACACACACATACACACACACATTTAAAATGGGGATTGAACCCAGAGGTGCTTAACCATGGATCCACATTCCCAACCCTTTTTATTTTATTATTATTTGTTATTTTGGAGGGCACCAGGGATTGAACTCAGGGGCACTCAGCCACTGAGCCACATCCATAGCCCTATTTTGTATTTTATTTAGAGACAGGGTCTCACTGAGTTGCTTAGGGCCTTGCTAAGTAACTGAAGCTGGCTTTGAACTTGAGATCCTCCTGCCTCGGCCTCCCAAGTCACTGGAATTACAGGCATGTGCCACCATACCCAAGCACATATTGTGTGTTAGGCACTGAGAGAAAACTGGTAGATAAATAGACCCAGTCACTGACCTCATGAAGCTCAGAGTCCAGTGGAGAAAAACAAAAAATAATCAAACAGTAAGTGTTGCGTTTTAAAGTTTAAAAAAGACATAAATAAAAAGTAAAGAGAATTGCTGGGTGTGGTGGCTCACACTTATAATCCCCGAAATTTGGAGGACTGAGGCAGGAGGATTGCAAGCATGAGACCAGCCTGGGCAATTTAGGGAGCCCCTAAGCAACTTAGTGAGACATTGTCTCAAAATTTTAAAAAATTGGGTCTGGGGTTGGAGCACTTGCCTAGCACGTGTTTATATAAAAATAAACAAATAAAATAAAGGCATTCTGTCCATCTACAAATACAAAAAGAAAAAAAAAACAATTTTTAAAAATTTAAGAAGGGCTGGGGATGTGGCTCAGTGGCTAAGTACCCCCTCAGTTCAATCATCCCCAGTACCAGCCGCCCCCCAAGAAAGTAAAGGGTACTGGGTGCATTGGTGTGTGCCTATAGTCAAAGCTACTCCTGGGGACATTGAGACAGAAGGATCACTTGAGCCTAGGAGTTCAGTGCCAGCTTAGGCAACATAGCAAGACCCCATCTCAAAGGAAAGGTAAGTCAAGGGGAGACACCTGAGACCTGAGATGATTCAAGATATGGGCCTGATGTAAGTTAACTAATCCATCATTCCAGTTCTGGTTGAAATGTCTGCAATCAGAGATTTCTTTTAAAAAATATTTTTAGTTGTAGATGGGCACAATACCTTTATTTTATTTATTTAGTTTTACGTGGTGCTGAGGATGGAACCCAGGCAAGCCCTCTGCCACTGAGCCTCAGCCCCAGCCCGCAGATTTCTGTATAGGTGAAGTTTTTAATAACACCACTGTGTCAGGAACAGTGCATCTGGGCCACAGGAAGAGTTCAGCCTCGTTTTCTTGGCAATGCTTCTTATTTTCTCAGAGTTTTAATATTTTTAAGGATTATATGATGCAATGGAATCTTACAACTATAGGAAAAAAAAAACAGCAAATGTGGACCCAGAATTGGTTCCTCTATGCCTGATAGTAAAAATCAAGAGGAAATTGAGTGTTTTTTAAAAGTACAAAGTAAACAATATTGCAGTATTGAATTCAGGGACAAACGACAGGACTCACTGTCATTCTCGAGATAACATCTCAGCAGTTATTGCTGCTTTCTATCTGGGCAGAGTAAGCGCTCAGGAACTGATAGCGGTTACCATGTTCTATTTGTTGGGCTCATCTTTCCCGTGTCACCTGGAAATATGGGATGATCTAGCATGGAAAACATCCGTTCTGATACAGGTCCAAAGCTGAGTTGGATTGTACGGAAGTGATTACAAAGCCATTATCACCAAAGTCCCAAAAATATTAGTTAAATAATCACAGAGGACTGGATATTTATTGATTCTATTACCTGCTTCTCAAAAGATCAGGTAACACAAGACCCTGGAGGTGAAGATCAGTACCCATATCCCTGGGGACCGAGTAGGTGCTCAGTAAGTTCTTAGTGAATAGATAGATGAGTGAGAAAAATAAATCCATACATATATAGGAGAAAAGAGACGGTTACATACCAAAAAGAAAACAATCAACATTGTTCAAGTTCTCTGAACATCTCAAATGTAAAACTTCTGGTTCAACAGCTGATCTTTACACTGACTGTTATTTAGAACACTTTATACAGCTGACAATCAAAATGGCATATACAACATTTGTTGTAGCTAAAGGTCCCAGCCTAAATGACTCTGTAGGAGCTTGGTTAAGTAAACTGCAGAACCCCAAAATGCAATTTGTTTGCACCTGTTTAGTAATTTTAAGTTTCCTCGGAAACTTGTGAAGATGATGTCTATAATTCCAGTGGCTCAGGAGGCTGAGGCAGGAAGATCTCGAGTTCAAAGCCAGTCTCAGAACTTATCAAGGCCCCAAGTAACTCAGTGAGACCCTGTTTCTAAATAAAATATAAAGAGGGTTGGGATGTGGCTCAGTGGGTAAGTGCTCCTGATTTCAATCCCCAGTACCAAAAAAATAAAAAGAAAAGAAAAAAGAAAGAGAAGAGAGATATGTGAAGGTACTTGCCAATGTTGCTTCATTTCATTGAGTGAATAAACTAACTTACCCCCATGGGCAGGTGGGGGTTGTAGCACCAAAGTGAAGAATGATCCTAGCCACGTTGCCATATTTAAGAAACAGCTTAAATATTTTCTGATCTGGAACAACCTTGAAGGTATTTTGTCAGAGAAAAAAGGCAAGAGGCTCTTTGTATCTTCCTGCAAATTAAAAGGGAGATTTATGCACAGAATATTTTAGGAAGTATGGACAAGAACCTTTCTGCAACAGTAGTTAAAATGTTGCTTTTGGGGAGTGCTGAGAAAAGGGAGGGATACCCACTTCTCACAGTGTACTGCTTAGTAATGTTGACCATTTTTTTAAATTTAGTTTTTATTGATTTGTATAATTTATTTATATTTCGGTACTAGAGATGGGACCCAGGACTTTCCAACATGCTAGTCAAGAGGTCTATCACTGAGCTACATCCCCAGTTCTTTCTATTTTTTTTTTTTTCTTTTTAATTTTGAGACAAGGTCTTGCTAGGTTGCTGAGGCTGGCCTTGAACATATGATCCTCCTGCCTCAGCCTCCCCTATAGCTGAGGAGATGACAGGTGTGCACCACCATTCCTGCTTCTCATTCATTCTCCCCGCACCCCCTCCTGTCCCCACCCCCACCTCTCTCTTTGGTGCTGGAGATTGATCCCAGGGCCTCGGGCAGGCTAAATTGCCTGGTGTGCTTACCTCACTGAGCTACATTCCTGGCTGTTGGTGTTAAAAACAAACAAAAACCCTCCTAAATGTGCATTTTTACTGATTCAACTTCACTTATATATTTCAGGTAGTGACTTTTTAAAGATTTCACTTAAAAAAATTAAGAGAAGACAGATTTGGGAGCAATTGTGCTCTCCTTTCCAATGGCCTGCACATGTCCCTATATTGTTGGCACAAAACTGGTTTGGAAATTCTGTCATTCTTACCATCTAAGATAATTTGGCCACCAACGATTGAAGTCTCAATTAAATAAGATTCCAGGAGATTCCAGAAGATTCAGTGGAAGATTCCGGAAGCAGGGCAGGCCTCAGGGGCCATATGATTCCAGACCCCACCACCGACTGTCTCCCTTCCATCCACTTGTCTCTGGTCCCCCTAGACTGGCACCCCGGTTGGTGGCACAGATGGCCAGGCTGTTGGGGGGCTCTCTTTCTGCACCGCCCACACTGCACAGAATCAGAGGGAAGGGTGCCTCTGTCTAATAGCCCTCCAAATAGAGCATCTGAGAGTCACTCCAACGAACCCACCGGGTTCCACACTCAGCCCAGCAATCGGGATGGTGGCCAGGGGACTGAATATGCTTCTTGGCAGTTCCTGGCTTGCCTGCTCCTGTCCTGGAAGAAGCCACCTCCTGGTCCTGGTCCCACAGGTCTCCTCCAATGGAATATAAGGGCTGCCAGGAAGGAGGGAAGGAAATGGGAGAGAGGAGGGGGGAGGGGAGGGAAGGGAAAGGGGGAGGGAAGGAGGGGGAGGGGAGGGAGGGGGAAGGGAGGGGAGGCTGAGATGGCAAACATCAACTCTGTTACTCAGTTCCAAGAGGCAAATCCAGAGCCAGGCCTGGTGGCACATGCCTGTAGTTCTGGGAACCCTGGAAGCCAAGAGGCTCACTTGAGCCCAGGAGTTCAAGGCCAGCCTGGACAACATGGTGAGACGCCATTTCAAAAGCAAATCAAACAAGATCCAAAAGGCACATATACAGAATTGTTGCCAAAATGTTGACCTTTCAGCTTGGCTCAATGTCTGTACTTTCTCTCAAAGTTATACAAACACACTTTTTTTCTCCCAATGAAGAAACCAGTTTACTGAGTGACAAGAGGTATCTTAGGTGATATCACACCTGTATCAAAATAAGTGAATGTGCATGCCTGTAATCCCAACAGCTCGGGAGGCTGAGGTGGGAGGATCGCAGATTCAAAGCCAGCCTCAGCAACTTAGCGAAGCCCTGAGCAACTCAGTGAGACCCTGTCTCTACATAAAATATAAAAAAGGGCTGGGGATGGGGCTCAGTGTTCAAGTGCCCCTCAGCTCAATTCCCAGTACGTACTCCCGAAAAATGTTGGTATACAAAAAAAGAACAATATTTTCTTTATGTCCGACCATTTCACTTTCCAATATAAAGTACCAGATGGGCAAATGAGCCCCCACCCCAGAAGCGCCCTGTCCCTACCTCCAGATGCGAACGCAGCCTCCTCCTGGTATCATGAAGGTCTAAATGTGCCATTTGGACTCCACTCCTCCGTAGGAAGAGTTCTCCATGGCCACGGTCAGCTTTGATCTCTGGGTTTCAAACAGAAATCACAGCTTTGAATACTGCCAAGTCTGCTGGCCTTTTGAAACCCAGGATCTGGCCAAGCCCAGTAGACACAGAACACCAGCTGCCTTTCCCCATGGAGGGACTGAGTGGTTATGTCAGATTGCGGGACTCGCTAGCCAGTGAGCCATCAACAAACAGAATCCGTGCCCTTGCTGCAGGCCACTTTCTGGGTGGGTGCTGGGTACACAGTACTGAGCAAGGCCTTGCCTCCCCATCCCCCTGGAGCCTGGTCCAGCAGGGAGCAGGCAGCAGATATATTTATTTAAACAGTGAAGTAAATATAAAACTGCACAAGTCCCCACGAGTCGCACCTTGTTCTTAGCTTTCAATTAATCACAGGTAAGCTTCTCCCATCATTCCCTGCAAGTCATTCTACTGAATCTTTGTTCCCCAGTCCCATTCCTTATTTATTTATTTATCTTTTTTTTTGGTACCAGGGATTGAACTCAGAGGCACACGACCACGGAGTCCCAGCCCCAGCCCTATTTTGTATTTTATTGAGAGACAGGGTCTTCTCCCTGAGTTGCTTAGCACCTTGCCTTTGCTGAGGCTGGCTTTGAACTTGAGATCCTCCTGCCTCAGCCTCCCGAGCTGCTGGGATGACAAGTGTGCACCACTGTGCCCAGCCAGTCCCGTCCCTTTTCTTTCTTTTCTTTTTTTTTAATTTTAATATTTATTTTTTAGTTTTCGGCGGACACAACATCTTTGTTTGTATGTGGTGCTGAGGATCGAACCCGGGGCCGCACGCATGCCAGGCGAGAGCGCTACCGCTTGAGCCACATCCCCAGCCCAAGTCCCGTCCCTTTTCAACAGATTAATCTCTGTTTCTTCTTTGGATTTCAGTTTAAACTGCATTTCCCAAGGGAGTCCTTCCCTTGGATGAGGGTTAGTGTCTTCACGATCTCCTCCAGCCCTCTCTGAATTTCCTCTTGACATGAGCCCCTTTAGAATGAGATGCTATGAGGGACATGTTTGATATTTAACATATTTGATATTTAGTGGCTCTTTTACACTCTGGGTCTCCCCACCGGCAGCACGTGGTTTGGTTTTCATGTTTCCATATCAACCGCGCCACATCCCAGGGTGTCCATCCCACTGTTTCCTCTTCCTAGAACACTGCCCACCAGACACAGCCGCTTGGTCCACTCTCTCGTTTCCTGCAGTTCTCTGTTCAAATATGAAGTCACCCCTGCGGTCTTCCCGTACCACCACAGGGACAGCAGTGATTGATCCTTGTCCTGAGCATCATGATCTCCATTTCCCCTCCATGGCCCCTGTCTACAAAGATGATCTTTTTTCCTTCGTGTATTGCCCCATGAGGATGTAAGCTCAATGAGAAGAGTCTTTGCCTACTTCATTGATGATGTTTTTTCTTCAGGAGCTCCAACAGTGCCTGGCATGTCCTTGGTGCATAGTAAACGTTTATTCAACCAAAGCATGAATCGGTACATAATGCTTACCAAATTATCTGGCACACAGTAGGTACTCAAAAAATGCTCTGGAAGGAAAGAATGCCTGAATGAGGAAGTACAGGTACTGCTAAATCGGATGCAGGGTGTCCAGTTTGGTTGGAGGAGTCACATCAGGTATGTGGGATAAGAAAGAGATTTCAGGAGCTGAGGTTGTAGCTCAGTGGCTGGGCACTTGCCTCGCAAATGTGAGGCACGGGGTTCTATCCTCAGCGCTGTATAAAAACAAATAAATAAAGATTAAAAATTAATAAAATAAAGGTGCTCTGTTCATCTGCAAAAATAAATAAATAAATAAAATAAAAAGAATCAGGCGCAGTGATCCACGCCTGTAATCTTAGCAGCTTGGGAGGCTGAGGCAGGAGGATCGCAAGTTCAAAGCCAGCCTCAGCAACTTAGCGAGGCCCTAAGCAACTCAGCAAGACCCTCTCTAAATAAAATATAAAAAAGGGCTGGGGATGGGGCTAGTGGTTAAGTTCCCCTGGGCTCAATCCCTCATACCAAAAAAAAAAAAAAAAAAAAAAAGAAACAAAGAAAGATTTCAGCTCCTTTTTATTTTCACCAACGGGTAAAGTGTCAGTCAAACTTTCTTACAGTTGGTGGAGAGGCGAGAATGTAGGAGAAGGGATGGGAGCTTGGCTGCATCCTCACTCCCCAGACATCCAGCTCTCCACTGCCCACACCTCCCCCTTCAACATATTTGCACTCAGCTGGCAGCATTTGTAGTTGTGCAGTTGCTTGCCAAGAATGGAGATTAAAAATGTCCCATAGAGAAATTAGCATCGGGGTTGACCAACTGGAAGCCAAACCCTGAAGCTATTTTCCAGCGTTCCTCAACTCCCAGGAGAAGCAGAGAGGAAAAGGAGCAGAGGTTAGAAGGCAGGGTTCTAGAAGTTTCGATCTCTTCTTGCCGTGGCTGAGTTGGGGTGGGGGTGGGGGGACTGCGCGTATGGAGCAGAGAGGCCTGAGCTGGGGTTTGGACCCTCTTCTGCCTCTTGTCTGGGCTTTTGGTTACAAATGACACAGAAAAGGAGTACGACGGTTTCTTCTGGAGCTGTGTCAGGATTTGCTCCATAAATCACCTGGGAGGATGCCATATGCAAATGCAAGAAGAAATAGCAGTGTTGGTGTGCCTGGCGACAGCCCGGTTGTCCTCAAGGGGAAGGGAAGGAGAAGAAGAAGCCTTCTTCCTAATAAAATCTTTCCTATCAGCTGGTAGATTCCATGACTGTTCACACTTGGACCAATCCAGAAATTCCAGTTAGAGCGATTTAGCCTACGTTTCAACATAATCCTGCATGAGAGTTATTGTAGATGCCTGCACTCCTTGAGAAACTAAAGAGCTGCTCAGAGAATATTTCTCCTGGGATGTAGGAAACCTCATAAGGAGATAAAAGCCATTCAAAATACGGTTCTTTCTCCAAACCCAGATCGCTTCCCTTTTAATGCAACGATCCCTTTGAAGATTGACAACAATTCACACATTAAAAAAAAAAAAAAGAATGAAGTCTACATTAGCCCCCATCATCATTAATTTCAACCTACAGGAAAAGTATCCCTCCATAACTAAGAGCAATCATGCTCATTTTAAGGCTGAAGACAGTAAGGGCTCAGACAGGCTATAAAACTTGCCATTATGTGACAGCATTTGGTCATTTGGTTCTAGAGCTGCCAGTTACAAAGGCCCAAGCTGTCAATCAAGATGCCATCCTAGGTGTTGGTATTTCCTGTAATATTTAACTTTTATTTTTTATCATTGCCAGTTATAGTACACATTATTTATGTTATTTATTATAGTGCAGCACATTCTATATTGCTTTAGTATATCATATTTTTTAATGGTGTTACAGTGTTTTTTTTTTAAATGGAGGTAAAATTCACTTGAAATAAAATTCAACATTTTAACACCCTCTCCCACTTTTTTCTTTTTCTTTTTTTAAAAATATTTATTTTTTAGTTTTAGGTGGACACAATATCTTTATTTTATTTTTTTATGTGGTACTGAGACTCGAACCCAGTGCCTCATGCTTGCTAGGTGAGCGCGCTATCACCTTGAGCCACATCCCCAGCCCCTCTCCCACTTTTTTTCTTTCTTTCTTTTTTCTTTGTTACTGGGGATTGAACTCAGGGGCACTATTCTGTATTTTATTTAGAGACAGGGACTTGCTGAGTTGCTTAGGGCCTCACCAAGTTGCTGAGACTGGCCTTGAATTTGTGATCCTCCTGCCTCAGCCTCCTGAGTTGTTGGGATTACAGGCATGCACCACTGCACCCAGCCCACTTTTTTTTTTCATTCTTGCAGTGCTGGGGATCAAACCCAAGGACTAATGCATGCTAGGGAAACAGCCACTGAGCTCTAGCCCCAGGCCCAACCCTCATTTTAACCATCTTAAAGTACACAGTTCGATGGCATTTAGTAAATTCCTAACACCGCACCAATCATCACTATTGAGTTTCAGAGACTCTTCATTATTCTCAGAAGAAGTCCCATAAATATTAAACAGGACCCTCCCCTCCTCCTCTCTTTCTCCAGGTCTTGGCAGCCACTAGTCTATTTCCCATTTCTCTGGATTTGCCTGTTCTGGACATTTCATACACATGGAGTCACTCCAATATGGAGCCTTTTTATGTTTTCCTTCTTTCACTTAAACATGATTTTTTTCATGGATTTTCCTTTCTTTTTTTTTGCTTTTGTTGTCACTTGCAGTATTGGGAATTAAACTCAGGAAACCCCTCAGCCACATCCCCAGCCTCTTTATTTATTTTAAGACAGAGGCTCACTCAGTTGCTGAGGCTGGCCTCAAACTTGTGATCCTCCTGCCTCAGCCTCTCTTTGGGATCACAGGCATGCACCATCACGCCACACTGGTTATTTCCTGTTTTAGCACTCTGCCATGGTTTAGATATGAGGTGACCTCCCAAAGCTCATGTGGGAGACAGTGCAAGAGAGTTTAGAGGTGAAATGATTGGGTTATGAGAACCTTAACCTAATCAGTGCTTTAATCCCCTGATAGGGATTAACCTGACGGTAACTGAAGGCAGGAAGGGTGTGGCTGGAGGAGGTGGGTCATTGGGGGTATGTCTTTGAGTATATGTTTTGTCCTTGTTGAGCAGAGATCTCTCTCTCTGCTTCCTGGTCACCATGTGAACTGCTTCCCTCCACCACACTCTTCCTCCATGATGTCCTGCCTCCCCTTGAGCCCCGAGGAATGGAGCCTGCTGTCTGTGGACTGAGACCTCTGAAACCACATGCCCCCAAATAAACTTTTCCTCCTCTAAAATTGTTCTTAAATGGTCTTTTGGTCACAACAGTGAAAAATCTTGCTAAAACACCTGTATCAGTACTTGGTTCCTTTTTAGAAGTGAACAATGTTCTATTGGATGGAAACCCTTCGTTTTCTCTGCTGAAAGACATATGGGTTGCCTCCACCTTTGGATTCTTGAGAGAATGCTGCTGTGAGCACTCCTAAGTTGTTCTCACACACCTGTTTTCAATTCTTTAGGGTATATATACCTTAAAATTGCTATATGTATACCTGCCAAATGGTTGTCTGCAGTAACTACACCATTTTATAATCCCACCTGCAGTAAAAAAAAAAAGTGTGTGGGGGGGTCCAACTTCTTTAGATC